GTTGGCAATGAAAGGAAGATGAGAATGCATCAGGGAGAGAGCCCACTAAAGATAGGGATTCTGGAGCTTGTTTATAGACCGAGGGGAAGGATTTGATGAGAAGAGGATTAGAGATGCAGATATGGATATATTGGTGGAGAAGGGTCCTAAAGGAAGGTGGAAAGAGGTTAGTGGAGGTGTATCACTTTACTGTAAGTCAGAAAGAAAGGACTATGAGATGAATGCAGTAGGTAGAAGTTGAAGAGCAAGCAAGTTCAGGTATTTATGCATGGTGGCCTTTATTTTCTAACTTAGAGGCCACTTCTTATACTGAAAGGCTGGAGAGTGACATTAGGGTCTTCAGAGACAGAGTTAAGGTTTGGAACAGTGTTGTGGAGAACGAGAATAGTTCCATTAGTGGAGAACACACAAAACTCATTCAGAAGATCTGGGCTTTGACTTTTTTAGTGCTACCAACTGGCTATGTGGTTATAGGCAAGTTAAAGAGCTTCTCTAGGCCTCAGTTTCCTTTTCTGTCAAGCCAAGATGTGGAGTTAGACAAGTGTTTTTCAGAGTACTTTCAGGAGGGAGAAAAGATTCCACTGAATTGAAAACAGCATTTGAAAACCACTGGACTGTATTCTGATATCCTTTCCAGCAATAACATTCTCCTTAGTTGTTGCAGAAATAAATTATTTCTTCATAAATCTTATGGGTTTCACTTTGAATGAGTAAACTGTTATTAATTGCAGGATGTGTTAGTATAAATCAGTGGTTTTTAGATTGTGTTCCCTGAAGCTGCCCATTGTCCTGTGGGGTGTCTCAGGGGCTACTGAGGGGCTTGGGGAAGGTCCATGGCAAGGGTTCAAGACTCTAGGCACAGACTCCTTGTTGTTTATTTTATATACTGAGGATCTACATAACCTTTTGTTTTTTAAAAATAGGTTTCTTTGGTAGAAATCATTCTGGTTGTCATTAGTCAATGTGTCTGGGACCTTGAAGACAATCTCAGAATTAACATCCCAGGGGTCTCCTTAATAAGGTTTATAGAAATAGAAAACTCAGTACTCGTTCATTTGAGTTGCAACAAAATAATGGTTGAAGTCTCAACTTATGAGCAATAATTCCCTTATCCAAAAGACCTTCATGTTTTATAATAGTATAAGGGGATCGGTGAGTGAGGTTGGATATTCTGCTACATTTGGAGATATCCAAAACATGCTATTTCTACCTCATTATATTGCAAGTGAATTCACTGAACAAAGTTGAGGATCTTTTAAATTTATTTTGACTTGAAAATAATTTGTTGGGGAGGTAAAACGTATGGGAATGGTTGAGGGAAAAGTGGCATATGCCCTATAGGTAGACAAGAATATAATTATTGTCTTTGTTGAGAAATATTTGAAAATACGTATTTATTGTTTCAAAGTCATATTGTGCTCCTATAAATGATCCCTGTTAGTAAGAAAGATCTAGCCTTATTTATAGTTCATGTTTCAAAGCTCTTATGCATTAAGCTCTCAAAAGAAAATCTACTCCCCAACCTGACTCCCCTGCCCTCCAGTTCTCCCACACACATGGAAGCTAGACTGGGCCCTCTTAGGATTTCCAGTTTACTCTGGACAAATTTTTCATCCTAACCTTGGGGGAACAGTGAGTAGAAAGCATTCAGTGATTGCATGTGTGAGGATTGTAAACAAAGTTTGTGTTGGGCCCTAATCTTCGCTGATGTAATTTTGGCTACAGTGTCAGAAGGCCGATCAGCTGAAGTAACCAAAAGCTCGCCTAAAAGAAAACAGATCTGCCACAATTGGCAGCTGAAGTGAATATCATCAGTGTCTCTCTGGTACTTCTGTCTTTCTAACTATAGCTTGATCGGTTTCCTTGTTTCCAGCCTAGACCACCAGGAAGAAAATAGATGGGTTCTTCAGTGATGTTGCTGAGGTGGCTTTCACTGTATTTAAGGGTTTCTTTCTCCCACTGAACATCTGGGCTTGTCCTGGCCCATCAGTTCATCTATGCCAAACTCTGTTGGACCTCACTCATTTGTTCTGGGCTCCAGCCATTGCTGTCTTGTAGTTGAGAAAAGCATGACCTTAAAATTTAGTCTTAAAAGGTCCTTTGTAGGATTTATCTGTTTCCTGCTTTGGATGTTTTTACACACTATAAATATTAGTTACCATAGCAAAATCCATACTTTTTCACTAAATGATAAGTATGTTCTTGAGGAATGAAAAAATCCTTTTCTCCTTAATACAGTGGTTCTTGTGAAGATTCAATACTTCTCCTGTTCTTTCCCCCAAGAAAGTTGTTTAAAAGTTCAAAAAGATAAGGTGATGAATAGGAAACCTGAGTTTCTATTCTTGTTTTTACTCCCATGCTAATGATAGAAAATAAGTAGGATTCTCCATCTCTGATTCTTTTAATAGGAAAAAAATTTTTTAAAACCTTATGTACTGTTTAGAAAGGAATCTTATTCAGTGGCTATAAGATGGGCTTCATATTTCTTAGACATCCTAATAGAAGTATCCTCAAAGGCCACTTTGAGAGAGGCAAGTACACATTTGATAGGCTTACAATTCTGTCTCTTAACGGTATGTTGTTTTGGATTTCTATAGCAAAGTGCAGGCCCGAATAGCATTCTCTGCCTATCTCCAGCATGTTCAAATTCGCCTGATGAAAGACAGTGGAGGTCAGACGTTCAATGCCAGTTGGGCTGCCAAAGAGGATGAACAGATGGTGAGGCTCTTCTTATCGGAACCTTTGTAGTTTCCCTTTTTCTTTTTGTTTTTTTCCTTTTTTTTTTTTTTCCTATTAGGATAAAGAGCAATATATTCTTCCGGTGAAAGGATTGTTGCGTAATAAATAGATAATAAATAAATAATAATTTTCTCGTATTCTAATGTGAAGCAAATCTTTCATCTGGAGCTACGTTCATTGCACTATGTAGTGAGGGCATCAGTTTATTTCATTTTGGAATGGAAATTGATTTCTAATTGATGTTAAGCCCTGTGCAAAGCCCTCAGAAAGAATAACAATTTACAGTCCTTCCTGAAGTAAACTCACATTTTATTAACTCTTTGAGGTAGGCTTTATCTATTTTAGAGATGTGGAAACAAAGACCTAGAGAAGCCAAGTCTGTTGTTCCATAGCTTGTATGTGGTGAAACTGGAACTCGAACCTAGCTGTTATAATTGTACATTACTTGTTCTTCTGTTGTTTTCATGTATCATAAGGCATTTGTTTTCTGTCCTGAGGAGTCAAGTTAGCTCTTTGAAAGTCAACACCTTGTCATGGGCCCTCTCAGAATGCACAATCTTGTAGCTTCACATTTTTTCTTTGCTAATTGTAACTTTACGGGATTCTTAGATTACTGAAATCAAACTTGTGTGATAATTTTTGCTGTGTATTAGTCATTTGAACATGCCTGGGATTTAATCTTCTAGGAAGGTGTTTCTTTTTTTTGGATCAGAATGACAGGGAGCTTCAAGCTTCAGGTAAAGTCAGAACTTACAGAAGAAGCCACAGCCCTTCTATAACCTTTTTAACAACAGGGATTTGTCACCAGAAAAAGAGGGACCTTTCGGTCTGAGAAAGCTGCATCCTTTATTCCACTCAGTGATAACCCTATTATAATTTCTAGTCCTCCACATACAAAAGACAGGTCTTTATGCCAGGCTTATTATAAAAACATGTTGGTTATCCCAGAAAACAACTTGTGAATTTATAGTAGCCAATATAACTCAGAGATAAAACCTTGTGTGTTGTGAATAATCCTTCAACCATCAGTGGAAAATGTTAGCTCTGCTCTTTCCAAGTGGAAAATTGAGACTGCCTTTTGAGAGTCAGTTTGTCTGCTCTACTGTGAAAAAATAATGTTTTAATATTTCAGCTTAAACCACCCTATAGTAAAGACAGCTGAGTAGAACCATGAAATTCAGCCTTCTGGTTATGAGGCTGTTCCATTTATGCTGGAGTAAATTGGCACAAAGGACAATGAGCCAAAATCAAATTCAAGAAGAAAAAAAATAATTCAGAAGAGAATAACCACTGCAAATGCTGCCTTGGAATTCACAGGGGATTTCTACGGGGCTTTCTCCAAGAATATTTGGGATCATTGCTGCAAAACTTAATACTGGTTCTGCAAATTCCTTCTTGAAACTGTAATTAGCAAGCAAACCCTAACTCATTCCTTGATGATTGTGGTAGTGGTCTTGCTTATGAGGAAGGTAGATGTAGAGTTACCCTCTCTGGTCTGGGTTGGGTTAGAGATTCTTTATCTCATAAATCACAGAAGGCATATCAACAGAAAGTCTCAACATCTATCATCAATTTTATTGTGTTTATGGGGCAAAAACATCTTTAAGGCCCTTGGCCTTACAGAATATCTCTTTGAAGCATATATGATGTTATCAGTCATCCGATTGCTATCTGTTCAGATATCAAAATCCTTTGCCCCCATCTTAAGTGAAATGTATTCTTTCTTTCTCTTAATGACTTTATACTGTGTTCTCTTTGTCAACCCTAAACTCTGAAAGCTCCCTTATCCTCTGGGAAGGAAAAAAAAAAAGGCATCACCTTTCAAGCTACTATGACAGTTCTTTCTTTTCCTTTGTCACTAAACTTTTAAAATGAATAGTTTCTACTCTTTACCTATATTCTTCATTACCCATGCATTTTCTTAATATCTTTCTTTTGCTCTCTTTATTGAAAATGTTCTCTTGAAATTATCCCTCAATGGCCAGATCCAGGGCCTTGTCTGGGTAGTGGTCTTTCCAGCTCCAGCGTCTCAGAAGCATTTGACTTGGAACACTTTCCTCCCTTGTCCTCCAAGACGCTATTTTCTACTAGATTTCTTCCTACATTTTTGATGTTTCTACCCTGTTTTTTGTTTTTTGTTTTTTTTTCTGAATCTTCCTCCTCTTTCCTATCTCTAAGTATGAATATGAAAAAAGTATGTATTCTTTTTCTACTGTCTTACCTTTGATGATTTCTTCTGTTCCCACAGTTTTAGTTTCCACTACCCGTCTTTAGCTATCCCCTAAATAGCTCTCTCTGATCATCCTATTAGGAATGATATATGCTCTTTGAATTATTATAATACTATTTATATATGTATTATGGTACTTTTATAACTACTATTTTATTACATAGTAATTTGCATACATATTTGATTTTTATTTTCTAATTGTCAGCTTACTGAGGGAAAAGAATAAATTTGTTTTGTTTCTTTGTGTATCTTATACCTACCATGTTTGCTTTGGGTCTTGTTTATTGAAATGTATGATATGTCTCTTCTCATATCTCTGTTGTATAATCCCTTCATAGCTTGTCTTCTGTTGCTTAGCATAATCCATGCTTTTTTTCCTCCCCGGTTCTTTAATTTATAGGAGCTGGTGGTTCGTTTCCTCAAGCGAGCATCAAGTAACCTCCAGCACTCACTGAGGATGGTATTACCCAGTCGACGATTGGCACTTCTAGAACGCAGAAGAATCCTGGCCCACCAACTGGGTGACTTTATCATTGTATACAACAAGGTAATTGGTTAATCTGTAGTCCTTTCCTTTGAATTGCCACACACTCTCAGAAAAAAATTAGAAGCCTCTGTCCAACTGGATGGAGAGGTTCTTTTTCTGTTCTCTAGCATCATCATCCTCTGTGCATTACTGTTAGGGAGAGCAGGACCCCACACCTTAACTCAGCTGGGCTGAAAAACTGTTACTTCTGAAGGCTAAGTGTCCATTGTTAACTCTTATCAAAAGGTATAAACTTTTGAGTTCTATTGCACCTGTGATGAATCCTGGGCTATGTGAATCTGCATTGATGTTATTGTGCCTGTGGACAATGGTGAGTTGACTATTTGGGAGCAAATTTAAACGTAGCTTTGATACAATGATGTACTCTTCTTTCTTGAGAGGGTTACACTTTCTTCTCTGAAACATTTTTATACAGTGACATCATTTTACAATCAAGCCCAGGAAATACTATTTAATTAGACTGTTTTACAAAGCATCCTATAATCAAGGGTCTCAGGATGCATCAAAAATATAATTTGGGGGTGGGAGGAGTATGGTCAATTTGCAGGTGGAAAAGCTGAGGCTTGGAAATTTAAATGGCTTTTCTGAAGTTGCATAGAATGGTTAGTAGACTATCAATGCACCAAACCCATATCTATAATTTACTCCATATCTGTTGAAAATTTTGTTATGTTTTATATAAGTGAAGAGTTTATTCAGTTTGGAAGCTGATATAAGAGTATCTTCCAAGACCTATCTTTCCTCTCCTAATTGCAACAAAAAACTGTGTCTGTATTGTCATACTGTTAAATCTACAAGTATGAACCTGGATATTACTAAGCTACTATAAAAAGCTCTTTGATCAATGGTCTGTGAAAGTAGAAAGTAAAAATATGATAAAAATTTATATTTGTTTTGCAACATTTACTTGGGAATTTCAAAACGTTTCATGAAATAGTGGCCAAAAGTAAGATATCAAATTTATAGGTGACAAAAGTACAAGGAAGAATTAAATGACTTTACTATAAGGACAAATTAACCCAAGGGTAATGAAACTAGATGAGGAAGTACCATTTATTAGGAGTCAATTTTATCTTGTTTTTCTGTGGGGCTTGGGCACTGGGTAGGAAACAGAACAAATGGCTGAAAAGAAATCGAAGAAGAAACATGAGGAAGAAGAGGAAGATGGGGTGAATACGGAAAGCTTTCAGGAGTTCATCAGACAAGCAAGGTAGAAGACATTCTTGATTAATAAAAACCATCTTATTCCATCTTCCATACTGCCCATTGAATACTCACCATTCCCCTGTTTCTGACACATAGACACGAATGAAATTATTCTCAACGTTGGGTGCAATGGTGTGTGCCTGTAGTCCCAGCTACTTGCGAGGCTGAGGCAGGAGGATCACTTGAGGCCAGGAATTTGAGGCCAGGAATTTGAGGCCAGCCTGGGCAACATAGTGAGACCCTGTCTCTAAAGAAAAAGAGAAAGGAAGAAAAGAAAACAGAAAAGAAAAAAATCACTCTCAGAAGGAGAAGAAGTTGCATGGGCTTGGCCTCTTCATATTCTCAGCCAATTATGTTGCTGTAGTCATGGCTTCAGTTATCAAAACACTGCTGCTGGGTATCTGGGCTGTAGTACCAGACAGCCTTCAAAGTACAGCTCACTCAAAGTGCTGAGAGAGCCCTTTGGAAACTTGAAGTTAGGGGCTTCTAGTGTGTACTGGGTCTGAATTTATCCCTGACCTACTGATGCAGTGGAGATGACCAAATTTTGCCTACATTGAGTGGGTTGAGAAATTGGCAATTTCTCAACACTGTGAGGGTTACGCCTAATTTATATAAAATAGAACAAGTCTTTCATGCTTAGGGTTAGCCTTTAGGAATTGAAAATCTCAGTATTCAGTTTTCTGTCTTGATACAAGTCAGCCGGGCCATTTTGTCAATTTATGCTGGGTTTTCATAGGAGGAGACAACAACGGCACTTAATTTTAAATCTTGTAAAACTCATACTGGAGGGACTTTTTCTAAATAGAGAGTTGTGCAAAACTACGAAAATAAAAAAGGGTAAAGTAACTGTAAACCCCATTACTTAGGTTTCAATCATCAAAGTCACAATAAGGAGAAAATCAGTAGAAAATCAACACTGTTGATTTGTGAAGTTAAATCAGGTGGGGGTTTATCAATCAGCAGCATAGTACGATCTGTGTTTAGTACCTTGTACAGACCTCATTATAGCCTCAATATCATGTGCTTAAACACACAGCAAACAAATACTTCATTTTGTAGGAGTCCATAATTGTATGATGTTATTTTTGTTGACATTCTTGGGTCTTGAGTAATGTGATTGATAAAGCAGGTATAGAAACAGTGCAAGAAGCAGTTTCTCACACCAACATTATAAAAATAGAAAAGGAAAAAGAACTAGATTATGTTCAGAAAAACCTCTACTTTTAATGCCAAAAGATTAATTTCTGGTTCCTCTTTTGGATCTTCTAAATCCCTAAAAATACGTAAAAAAGAAAAAAGCCCATCCTTTTAAAAAGTGATATGTATTTCTTCGGCAGTTCTAACTGGATGCTAAAAATGAATTACACATTCTGTTAACTAATTATGTAGATTTGGAGATAAAATATATTGGAACATAATTACTTCTGATTGTGGATTATGTGTTGATGGTTGGGAAGTATGTGGTAGCATCAGTTCTTCTTTTATTAAGTTTGGGGTGAGTACATGGATGCTTTGTCAGGGCTGGCAAATTCAAATACCTGCAAGAGTCAGGCAGGAAAACATAGATTTTAAAGTGGGCAGAGGATAAGACAGGTATAAAGCAGCTTGTATTTTGACCAACCATAACCTTTGCCTTTTAATATTCTGTGAAGGGCCAAATAAAACACAACAGGCAGAGGCAGCTGCCTGTTTGCAATGTCTCCTGTAGATCTTTGATAGTTACTTGTGTTACTTACCTTGGGGCATTTAGCTATTTTAAAGACCTTGGGGCTTACACTGAGATTCATACAGGTGGTTTCTAGGTTCTCATTAGAGTGTGTTCTGAAGATGGGCTATAGGTTCTTGGTAATAATGCAGGTATGCTTCACTTATGGCTGCTTACGTGGAACATAGCCAAGCTTCAGGAAGAAAAAAAAAAAAAGAGAAAGACCATCATTGAGAGGCTGCTTTTGTCCTAAAAGCAGATGTTACAAAATCTATGTGTGATATGTTGACTGGAAGACTCCCTTAGGCCCTCCTCTGTTTCCTTATACTTTGTATTGTGTGGATGGTCATAAAGAGCATATAATTTCAACAGTTTGAAGTGACCTTAGAGATCATCTAGTTCAGTCTCCTGCATTGTATATGGTGAGGGAACTCATCTGTGGTTACACTGATGGGTTTCCTTATTTCTTAGGGAGGCAGTTAAAATGATAAGTGGCTCCTTTAGTGAAGATACTTCTATTGTCTAGAAGTGGGGTGGACAAACTGTAAAGGGACAGAAATAAGTATTTCAAACTCTGTGGGCTACATACGGTCTTTGTACATATTCTTCTTTAAAAATATAAGAAAGTTTTTAGCTGGGGCCATACAAAAACAGGTTGCTGGTCAGGGTTGGCCCAGTCTTTAGTTTGTGGACTCCGGATCTTGAATGTGGCTGTCCAATAGAATATTCTGTGGGTGACTATTGAGCACTTGAAATGTGGCTAGTATAACTAAGGAAAAGAATCTTTAATTTTATTTAATTTTAATTTAAGTAGTCACATATAACTAATAGATTCCATATTAGACGGTGTAGATCTTTATTCATCACTGTGGGATGAATAAAGCTTTATCATGCTTTACATTTTTTAGATTGCTTTCATTTATATTTCATTTTAACCATCTATTAATAGGGAATTTTCAGCTTGTGCTTTTCATTTTCCCCTTTTCCAGCTTATTCTGTTTCCATAATAAAATCTGGTAGAAAGATTTTCCAGAATAGCTTCCTGTATGACCATACTTTTTCTCCTCATTTCAGTGAGGCTGAACTGGAGGAAGTTTTGACTTTTTACACCCAAAAAAACAAGTCTGCAAGCGTCTTCCTGGGGACTCACTCTAAAAGTTCTAAGAACAGCAACAGTTATTCTGATAGTGGGGCAAAAGGTGGTAAGTATGCTGATTAATTAATGAAAAATAAGAAGAAGTGAAGAAATAAGAAATTCAGAGGAGAGTCAAGAAGAATGTGTTGGCTAAGCACTAATAGTTCCAAGGTGATGAACCTTCACAACATAGAGTCGGGGTGAAAGATGGGGGACAATGCTTTTTGTCGTAAAAGCGGAAGGAGGGTTATAATCTGGTTTTTTTTTTCCCCGTGGTAATTAACAACAACAAGCTTTTCAAGAAAAGCTGGTAATAGCTAACATTTAGTGAACACTTAATCTTCCTATCTGCTGGAGATGGTCTTATGTTTTACTTCCAAAAATCATGTGGAGTAAGCACTATTATAAAACTTCTTTACAGACAAGAAAATGGCTAAAAGAGACTGAGTAGCTTGCTCAAGATTACTCTGCACCATGCAGGGACAGGAATTTGATCCATAGTCTACCTGACTCAAAGCTTGTGCTCTTAATCTCCACTCCCCTGCCTCTCTAATGATTGTTTCTACCTCTTGTCAAGTTTGTTGCTTTCTCTAGCTCAAGAGAATTGGCATTTTGGGTGGAATTCTTTGTTGTGTGGGGCTGTTCCATACCTGGTGAGATGTCTCATATTCTTGGTTCTAAGCCCTGTATGCTATTAGCTTCCTTCAGGCATTATGATAATCCAAAATGCTTCTACATGTTTCTGAAAGTTCTCACTGCTTTCAAACTCCATGATCAGGGATTTTGTAATTGAATATGGACTGGGCTTTCTAGCTCATGTCATCATGATAAAAAAAAAATAGCATTAGAAACAAAGCTCTATGCTTTAACCATAGATGCATTTAAAGCCGAGATAGAAGTACAAGGCAAAGGTAATCAACATACTAATTTTGTCAGTGTGCCAAGTACTAGATTAAAGACGGAGATTTCTTCCCTGCTCTTAAGGCTACCATAATCTATTGTGGAAATAGCCAGGGAAATTGTTTTTTTTTTTTTTTTAGACAGGGTCTGACTCTGTCGCCCTGGGTAGAGTGCCATGGCATCATCATAGCTCACTGCAACCTCAAACTTCTGGGTTCAAGTGATCCTCCTGCCGTAGCTTAGCCTCCCCAGTAGCTGGGACTGCAAGTGCACACCATGATGCCTGGCTAATTTTTCTATTTTTAGTAGAGGCAGAGTCTCACTCTTGCTCAGACTGGTCTCTAACTCCTGAGCTCAAGCAATCCTCCTGCTTTGGACTCCCAGAGTGCTAGGATTACAGGCATGAGCTACCATGCCTGGCCAGAAATTGGTCACTTAAAATGTGGAATGAATTTTCCCAAAGAAACAGTGTTAATGTTCTAAAAACTGATTTGGTTCCTAGGCTACTCCAGAAAAGCCTATTTAACTCACTGTATAATTGAAATATTATATTACTAGAAGTCCAGAATCTAGCCTTCTTCTTTGAGCTTGCCTAACTTCATTCATCTGTTCATTCATTCCTTCTACACATTTTTACTGAGCACCTATTATGTGTTAGGCACTTTGATAGCTACTAGGAATACAATGACCAGGACTGTCATAGTCTTTAACATTACAAAGTTTGTTGTGTAGTAGATGAAGTTGGGTGAGTGAATACAAGAAGAAGGTTGGTGGAAGCTCTGAAAAGCTCCTGTAAGAGTTTTGGGCAAGGGAGGCTGAGGGATTCTTGTAATGAGGTTAGGGTAGAGAAGTGAGCGAACCTGGGGAGGTGGGGGCCGAGATGGGTATTCATATAGTAACTTCGCCCCTACTAGTAATGGGGAAGCCCTAACAGCAGGTAGTGGCAGCACCTTTGTACAGATGGGTCATTGAAATTCTAGGGGTCATATGTTTAGAACTACCTTTACATAAGAACATCTATACCTGTCTGTATCTATTAAGAATAATTGGAGGGGCAGTCGGAAATCCTCAGTCAAGGAAACAACATTATGACATTTGACAGTGTAGTATCTGGACTCATTTCAAACATGAAGAAGCAAGTGTGTGACAGTATTACCACCACTGGTGGTGATGGAGAGGAGAGAATTCATATATCCTTATTTTTTTACTCTGAAAGATGATCTGTAAAATGGCCTTTAAGTTTTTGTATGAACCTAATCCTTAACAAAGATTTTAGAATATTTCCATACATGATTAGTTCTGGCTGTTCTGTTTCAAAATTCTGTAGTAGAGAGAAACTAATTTATTGGAATGACTTTATTATTGAATATATTGATCACCCTATCTCAAGTAAAACTGGGCATTTACTTTAAGATACAGAGCCATTGTAGTATCCAGGTATTATACCAACAAATAGTGGGGCTACTCTTTCTATCTCATGATAGCTGCCCTGTTCCATACATATTATGACTTCCTAGCTCCAGTAGGTACCACCAACCAACTTGGTCTCTTAGACCACACTCCCTCCCAGTCTGACTTCCTGTCATAAGCATCTGACTACCCTTGATTTTGTTTCCAGGCATATCTAGCTTGTTAGTAGTCCACGGATGGCTGCCCTGGGTTTAGGTAGCTTTCCCTAATTCGATTAGCTGGAGCTGGGAATGGCTCCTGGGTTGGGAATGGCTCCTGGGTTGGGAATGGCTGGGAATCATTTGGTTGGTTGCCCACTCAACAGGGCTGTGGGTGTGGTCATCCCTGGAAAACTGGTGAGACATGCAGCGTTCCCCAGCATTGGCTAGTAGTTATGTTATATTTTTGAAAACAAAATTATGTATAGAGCAATGGCTTTGTGTTTGATTAGTAAGAGAGCCTAAACTCAGTATTTCTTTCTTTAGATCACCCTGAGACGATGGAAGAAGTAAAAATAAAGCCACCCAAACAGCAACAGGCAACAGAAATTCATTGTGATAAATTATCTCGTGAGTGATTTCAAACCTACATAGATTTCTTGCTCTCTGATAAATCCCTAAAAGAAAAAAAATAGTCATCAGATATTAAATATTTCAAAAGCATGGAACATTATCCCTTTTCCTTTGTTCTTCCTTTTCCTTTAGAATTTCCTCTTATCTATTGATAATCTATTTTCCTTCCAAAGAATTTTTCATTTTCTTAAGTTTAGAAATTCTGGGCACTTTCTTTTTTCCTAGAAGGTTGAAAAGGCGGGGGAAAGGAATTAGCTGTTGCTAGCAGAAACTTTGTCCTGATGTCCTAACACGTGTAAAACATGCCTGCTCTGTTTTGTGGAATTAGTACCAACTCTGGCTCGTAGAAAGGACTAAAAGTAAATTCCTATTTCTGTTGCCAGGTCGTCTCTGGTAGACAAAATTCATTAAGTTCATGATGAATACTCATTAAAGTCTGTATTTTTCATGATTTCTGTTTCATGATAAGATTATTGTGATGTTTTAAAAAATGTTTGTGTTTTATTGAGATTGTATGTCCATTTTTCCTAAAATGATCTGTTTGTTTTGTTTTGTTTTGTTTTTAATAGGATCTACCACTTCAGCTGAAAAAGAGGCTAAATTAGTCTGTACCAATTCTTCCTCTACTTCTGTCTCTGGTCCTGCCGCTACTCTTCTGCAGAAAATTCCCAACACCCATTTGTCATCTATTATTTCAACTTCTGACCTCTCACCAGGGCCTGGCCACCATTCTTCTTTGTCTCAAATTCCTCCAGCTCTCCCCAGCATGCCTCACCAGCCAGCAATCTTACTGAACACAGGCTCTGACAATGCTTCTCCCTCTATACATCCTGGAACACAGAACATACCAAGCCCCGCTGGCCTGCCACGCTGTCGATCAGGCAGTTACACCATTGGCCCCTTTTCCTCTTTCCAAAGTGCTGCACAAATCTATAGCCAGAAATTGTCTCGTCCCTCTTCAGCAAAGGCAGGTGAGTGAGAAAACAAAAGGCAGCCCGCAATGACAGCTCCTGCCGAGCCCCACTGAAAAAAGAATGTCATCTCTTCCCTTTGCCTTTTCTTTTGAAAAGTAAAGGGACACGTGTTGCATTGTTTCGATTGTGACTAAGGAAGACTCTTTCATTTCATCCAGTAGCATTCATTCATTGATACAGAATGGGGCAGGACTTCTTTTAGTTACTGGAGATAAAGAGATGAATAAGCCAAGGCTCTATTCACTAGGAGCCTACAGTCTTGTCAAGAGATTTCCCATCACAGATAGCCATAGACCTATGAGTGTGTTATATGCATTCTTTCTGATTCAAATAGTTATTCTGACACCAGACAAATTAGTATTTTTTATTTTTCAATGTATTTAAAGTCAAGAATGACATGAATAAAATAACCAAAGAATCCTTAAAATAGGGTATCTAATTTTAAATGAAATGGACCCATATTATCTGTCAAGTTCTTCCCCATTTTTTAATAACAGCTTTATTGAAACATAATTCACGTTCCATAAAATTCACCCTTTTAAAGTATAAAATTCAGTGGTTTTTAGTATATTCACAGAGTTGTGCAATCAACACCACTATCTATAATAATTTTAGAACATTTTCATCATCTCCAAAAGAAACCCCATACCTATTAGCAGTCACTGTCTTATTTCTTCCTCCCCCAACCCTTGGCAACCACTGATCTACTTTCTGTTTCTATAGATTGGTCTACTCTGGACATTTCATATAATTGGAATTGTACAATAGGTATCCTTTTGTGAATGGCTTCTTTCATTTAGCATGATTTTTTCACAGTTCATCCATATTGTAGCATGTGCTTCATTTTTTATGGCTGAATAATATTTTCTTGTATAGATATATGGATTTTGTTTATTCATTCGTCAGTTGATGGGCATTTGGTTTGTTTCCATTTTTTGGTCATTATGAATAATGCTATTATGAACATTTGTGTATAAGTTTTTTGTGTGCACACATGTTTTCATTTCTCTTGAGTGTATAGGCTAGAGAAGAATTACTGGGTCCTATGATAACCTTATATTCCCTCTTTTTGAGGAACATACAAACTGTTTTCCAAAGTGGCTATGCCATTTTACTACCAGCAATGTATGGATATTTCAATTTCTCCACATCCGTGCCAACATTATTGTCTGTCTTTTTGATTTTACCCATCCTGGTGGGTGTGAAATAGTGTCTCTTTTTGTTGTTATGATTTACATTTCCCTAATGGCTCACGATGATGAACATCTTTTCATATGCTTAATGGCTGTTTGTATATCTTCCTTGGAGGAATGTCTATTCAAATTCTTTACCCGTTTTTAAATTGGTCTATTTCCCTTTTTATTATTGAATATAAATGTTCTTTATATACTGTGGATACAATCCCCTTGTCAGATAAACGTTAAAAATATTTTCTCCATATCTGTTGGTTGACCTTTTACTTTCTTAAAGCACAAATGTTTTAAATTGATGAAGTCCAATTTTTCTATTTTTTTTCTATTCATCTGTGCTTTTGGCATCATATCTGAAAAACTATTACCTAACCTAAGGTCACAAAGATTTCCTCCTATGTTTTTTCTAAGAATTTTTATAGTTTAGCCTCTTATTACATTTAGGTCTTTTATACATTTTGAGTTAATTTTTGTGTATGGTATGACATGGGAATCTAACTTCATTCTTTTGCGTGTGGATAGTCAGTTGTCCCAGCATCATTTATTGAAAAGAGTATTATTCCCCATTGCATTATCTTGGCATTCTTGTCAAAAATCAGTTCATGATCAATGTAAAGGTTTATTTCTGGGGTCTCAATTTTATTCCATTGATCTATATGTCTGTCCTTATGCCAGTATCACATTATCTTGATAACTGTAGCATCATAGTAAGTTTTGAAATCATCAAGGATGGTTCTTCCAACTTCATTTTTCTTTTTCAAGATTGTTCAGCCTGTTCTGGATCCTTTGAATTTCCATATGAATTTTAGGATCAGCTTGTCAATTTCTGTAAAAAAAGGCAGATGGAATTTTGATAGGGATTATTATCTGTAGATTAATTTGAGAAGTATCTCTTTTAAACACTTTAGTGATAGTCGTGTTAAAATGAGTTACAGCTAGCCATGTTTTGTAAATATCCAATCTATATTTCTTAATACTTTGTTTCAATTGAAATGGATTTTGTAATATGCCACTTGAATCAAGAGATTAAATTTTCCACTTTCATAAGTCATAAACATGAGTATATGCATATGTATGTGTGCTAATTCTGAGTGATCATTGTTCTTGTCAGTTAATTTTCTAAAATCAGTAATAATAATAATATTCTGGTTTGAACTTTTTTACCCCTATGTGAGAAATTCAGTAAGATCAGTGTCTCCAGTCCCCTATGTTATTGTTCAGACTTTTTTTAAAACCTTCCCTTTTCACCTTTTCCAAGAGAGGGATAGGGAATTTAAGAAGCTGGTCGGTTAAAAAATATTTCCTGGTGTCTGTTATGCTTTCTTATTTGACATGTGGATTATTTATAAGTATTTTGTTTAATTTTCAGGTAGTTGAGATTCATTCTTTTTTATAATTGGCTTTTAGCTTTTTTCCACTGTGGCCAGAGAACATATTCTGAATGGTTTAAACAGTAGTAGACAATAATGTATGGACAAAAATATTAATATATAGTAGGCAACAATAGCCTATAAATGATTAGAGTTAAACTTTTCTGTGGTGATTGAATAGTTTTGGAATGAGATTAAGATATTATTTAACTATAGACTTTTAAAAGTTAAATATACATTATCAAATTTGGAACGTCACCACTAAAAGAATAAAAGTATATAAATTCTAAACCTACGGGGAGAAGAAAAATGAGGGGAAAAAACCTGCATAAACATAGGAGTATGTAAGAAAAAAGCATAGAAAAAGCAAGAGAAATAGAAGTTTAAAACATGGTAAATCAAGTCTACATATATGAAGAATTAAATAAACACAAATGTATTGAACTTATTAGAAGATTGTCAGATTAAAGTTTTAAAAAAAAAATCCAACTATATGCTGTTTACCAGAAGCACACCTAAGGATGAGGACAGAGAATGGTTGAAAGTAAAAGAATGAGGAAAGAATTACCGAGTAAGTACCAGCCAGAAGAAAGATGATACAGCTACATTAAGAATGTTAAAATAGACTTTAAGATATAAATCTTTTTTACACATAAGGAATAACTGCATAATGACAAAAGGATCAGTTCAATCAAAAGATAAAACAGTTCTAAAAGTGTTTTATTAGGCACCTAGTAAAATAGCTTCCAAAGATATAACATAGAAATTTATATAACTACATAAATAATCTACAAATCTACTGTCTTAATGGGAGATTTCCACATGCTTCTATTAATTGTTAATACACTAAACTGATTTTTTCTTTTTTTTCATTTTGAGACAGAGTCTCACTCTATTGCCTGGGCTAGAGTGCTGTGGTGTCAGCCTAGCTCACAGCAACCTCAAACTCCTGGGCTCACGCAGTCCTCCTGCCTCAGCCTCCCAAGTAGCTGGGACTATGGCCATGCCCCACCACGCCTGGCTAATTTTTTTCTATTTTTAGTTGCCTGGCTAATTTTTTCTATTTTTTTTTTAGTAGAGATGGGGTCTCGCTCTTGCTCAGGCTGGTCTCGAACTCCTGCCCTCAAGCAATCCTCCCACCTCGGCCTCCCAGAGTGCTAGGATTACAGGTGTGAGCCACCACGCCCAGCCAACTGATTTTTTCTTTAAATTAGAAAAGGTAAAGAGAATTTGAACGATTTGATAAGTTAATTTATTGATCATATATAGGAGTATGTACCCAACAATTAGAGAAAACACCTTTTCAAGCATACGTGATACAGTTATAAAAATCAGTCATGTCTTACATCTTAAAAAATTTCAAAGACTTGGTATCATACAGCCATATTCTTTGTCCTCCCTGCCATTAAGTTGAAAGTCATTATCAAAATATATAACAAATTTCTATGTATTTCAAAATTTGAAAGAGTCAAAGAAGAAATCCTAATGGAAATAAGTTTAAAAGTATGGGGACTGAACGATAATGAAAAAACTGTGGTCCAGATACGTGGAGAACAATGAAAGGCAGTATTTAGAGGGAAATTTACTGCTTTAAATACTTAGATTTAAAAAGAACACAGGCTTAAAATTAATGCGCTAATGTCTGACTTTAAGTGTTATAAAAACAACACTATGATAAATCTAAAGAAGAAAGAAAGATGTAATGAAGATGAGAGCAAAAATCATAGATTTCAAAAATAAAGTAAAATAGGGGATATTAAAGCCAAAGTGGTCTTTTGAAAAGCCTAATAATGTGTTCAAACCTCTGGTAAGACTGATCAAGAAAAAAGAGAAGACATGGATAAAATGAGGAATGAACATGCAGATACAGAAAATATAAATATACCAAAAATGACAAAAATAATATGATACTGTTAACTTTATTCCAATAAAATTGAAGAAGTATACAAAATGGACAAACTCTTACAAAAGCATAACTTACATATGGTTGACTCAAGAAGATGAAGGAAGTCTGAATAGTCCTATAAATATTAAAATAATTGATACAGTAGTTAAAAATCTTCTCTTGAGGAAACATTTATGGCCCAGATAGTTTTATGGGTAAGTTCGAACAATCTTTCAAGAGGTAGACAATTCCAATATTAAAAAAATCTTCTAGAGTGTGGAAAAAGAGAGAATACTCCTTAATTCATTCTGTGTGGCTAGTTTCATTTGATAATAAAACCAGTTGAGAATAGCATTCAAGAGAACAATTATTAACCGGCTTCATTTATGAGCACAAACGCAAAAATTCTAATCAAAATGAAAGCCAGCCAAATCTAACAATATCTGGAAGAAATAGTATACCATGAGCAAGTTTATTCAAGGAATGTAGAAGGGGTTTAACATTTTGAAACCTATAAATGTCATTTCCCACATTAACAGATTAAAAGACAAAAACCATATTCATCATTATAAATGCAGAAAAAGAATTTGCTAAAATTCTACACTCATTCATGATAATAATTCCCAGCATACTAGGAAGAGAAGGAAACCCTTTTAACCTGAAAAAGAGTATCTGCCCAAAACTTGCAAGAGCTATTAGTCTAAATGGGGAAATGTTGAAAGCATTCCTTTTAATGTTAAGAACAAGATAAGATGCCCACTAATGTTGCTTCTGCCCAGTGTTTTACTGGGAGTCAGAACCAGCATAGTAAGATAAGAAAAAGAAATTATAAGCATACAGATCAAAAAAAAGGAAATAAAATTATTTATTTGGAGATAATATATAGTCTACATAGAAAACAGGAAATAATTACAGATATTTTGGAAATGATGATTTTAGCAGGATAGATGTCCATAAGACCAATATTAAAAATCAATAGCTTTTAAAATTACCTACCACAAAGTGTTAGAAAACAGTTTTTTTGCTTGTGGTAAAATATACATAACATAAAATTTACCATTTCAACTATTTTTACATGTTAATAAGTTCAGTGGCATTAAGTACACTCACATTGTTGTGCAGCTATCACCACCAACAAAATAGTGTTTTAAAAAACATCATTTTCAAGGGCCCAAAAACTCTAAGCCACCTAAGAATAAATTTAGAAAAGACTTAAGAGGAAGTTTTAGACGACTGTGTAGAAAGATACAGACATTAGAGAAAACCCAAGTAAGTGGGTTAATATACCGTTTACATTTTTTAGGAAGACTCAATAGCATCAGTGTTTCAGTTCTCATCACATTGATCTCTGGATTCAATACAGTTCCAACCAAAATCTCAACAAGTTTGTTGTTGAACTTGATAAGCCTGTTCTAAAATGATAATCTAAAGGCAAAAGGCCAACAATAGTGAGAACCTACTAAAGTAGAAAAATGAGGTGAAGAATTACCTTATTAAGACTTAATGTAAAGATATGATAATTAGGACAGTGTGGTATTGGCAAAGGTACAGACAAGTTGACCAGCGGAACAGAATGGGAAGTTAGAAACAATCCCACAGATAGATGGAACTTAGATATATGACAAAAATGGCATTTTAGATCAACGGAAAAGGAGGGATTTCTCAATAAGTGATTCGGGGGTAATTGGTTATCCATATAGGAAAAAAGTGAAATTAGAGCCCTGTCTCACACCATGCATAAAATCAATATCAGATGCAAAACTTAAAACTTCGAGAATAAAATAAAGGAGACCATCCTTAAGATCTTACAATATAGAGCAAAAGTAAAAACAAAAGCGCAACTCCTGTAAGTCAATCAGAAAAAGACAACGCAATAGAAAAATGATAAATGATATCAGAAAAGAGGTAACATGCTCAATGTCATTAGTAATCAGGTAAATGTAAATGAAGACTACAATGATATTTTACAACCTCTTAGGGAAGAATTGAGACACTTGACAATACTAAATGTTAGAGAGGATATGGATCAACAGGAGCTCTTTGTTTGTCGGAGTGTGAAAAATAATACCACTTCAGTGTTATGACATAAATCTGAAAATTCACATACCCTGTGACACAGCAGTTCCACTCCTAGACATATGTACAGGGAAGCTCTTCCATATGTGCACCAGCAGATGTATGCAAAAGTGTTTGTGGCTGCACTGCTTATAACAGCAATAAGCTTGAAATAACCAAAATATCCACCGATGGGGGAATAGAAAAATAAGTTGTGATATAATTACAAAATGGAGTACCATACAATAAATAAAATGAGTGAATTTCAGCTATACTTAACAAGGATGAATCTTGGAAGTGTGATGTTGAATAACAAAAGCAAGTTCCAGGAAGCTATTTCAATAGGATACCATTTTTATAGAACTCAAAAATAAGCAAAATTATCTATGCATATATATGCAAACACACAAATATATATGATAAAGCTATAAAAAGAATAGAACGAATTAGGGGAGGAGCAAGCACATCATTAATGCACATTATTGATAATGTAGTTCTGGATTAAATAGTAAATTCATAGGTATTCATTATTATATACTTATAACTATATATACATCTATTATAAATATTTTGCATGTACCAAATAATGTAGTAAATATGAAAAAGTTTTAGATTTTAAAAATCTATTGTGTATACAGAATAATCATGGTTACATTAGCATTAATAAAAGGATAGAAAGGAAATACATTATAGTGTTTCTACTTTTCTGGGTTTTTAAATTGTTTTTTTGAGGCAAGGTCCACTATATCACCCAGGCTATTCACAAACTCCTGGGCCCAAGTGATCCTTCCACCTCAGCCTCCCAAGTAGCTGGGACTACAGATGTGTGCCACCACTCCCAGCTGATTTTGTTTGTTTGTTTTTTTTAGAAAAAGGGTCTCACTATCTTGGCCAGACTGGTCTTGAACTAGCCTTAGGTGATCTTCCCACCTCAGCCTTCTGAGTAACTGGGGGTTACAGTCATGAGCCACAGTGCCTGGCAATTTCAAAGAATTTTTCTAAATGAGATGTGTGACTTTCATAATCAGAAAAAATATGAACCTTGATTTTTATATTAAATAATTTCTTTTTGCCAGAATTTCAGTGCTCAGAATAATAGAACTCTCTGATAATATAGTTGAAAGGAGAAAATTTAAATCTGAAAGGAAAATCAGTCATTTGAGAATATTAAGATTATTGCTGTTTTTCTTAGCATGCTGAATTTTGCTTTTATTCCTTTTTCTGCTTTAAGCTTTGTAAGTATTGTGGATAATTTGGCAGTGGATGCCACAGACTATTGACAAGTACAGTCACATAACAAGAAAAATAAGAACTATAATGAGTTTCAAAGATACATTTTTAATTCATTAAGATTAGTAAATTCTAGGATTGGTTATTCCCCACTACATGTGATGAAAATTCTTGTTTGTGAAGCTTTCATACCAAGGAAAAACACATTAATAAATGTACGTAACCATTTGGCAACAGGAAGAATTTCTAGGATCTGGTAGGCATTTATTTTTATTTTTGTGACCATTTGAAGACAGTTTATTGCTCCTTATGTTATTAAAGATCCCTAGAATTCAGTAAGGTGTCTGTTGACTTGAGATTGCCTGTCATTAACTTAATTTTTTTCAGGGCTATTTTTCCGAAGTGTGTGAAAACTTTTCTCCTTTTTAGCAGGTTCATGCCATCCAAATAAGCATCATTCAGGAATAACCAAAACACAAAAGGAGGGAGAAGATGGTTCTTTGTACAGCAAACGGTACAGCCAAAGTATGATTACAGCTGAACTTCAGCGGCTAGCTGAGAAGCAGGCAGCAAGGCAATATTCTCCATCCAGCCACATCAGTCTCCTCACACAACAGGTATGGACTATCTAGGGTGCCAAAGAGCTGTTTAGACCTCACGGTAGGATTAATGTCCCTCCCTGTCTTTTCTATTCCGGTATACTGTTACCTCTTGGGTGAGTATTAGTTGGTTTCAAGCTAAGAACCCAGGTGTTCCTCTTCAGTTCTGAAGAAAATGACTTTCTGTTACAGGTATTGTGAAGTTCAGTCTGCTACTGGCTATGATGTACCTATTTTATGGATATACAAACTTTAATATTCATCTGTAAATGTAATTTTAAGGGATCTTTAAAAATAACTTCTTTCTTTGGTAAAATTTTCTAGTGAGTTCTAATCTTATAAATATTTTTACCAGAATGTCAGAATGTTATAACATTATCTTTATGGTTTTTTGGTGTTTTTTTTTTTTTTTTACTGTATTTTATGATCTCAGGATGTTTTTTAGGTAACTGATTAAATATAGGTATTTCATTATGCCCTTATCCAATATATATTATTCTTCCCATTTTACTGAGGCTCAAATAAATGATGTGATCAAGGTCATTCAGCAAACTAGATGGATAGATATCAGAATATTGACTTTAAGTTATATATAGATTAACAAGTGCACAGCACAATGAAGTTAGATGACACTTTCAAGAATTTTGTGGATTCTCTTTGTCCTTCTTGCTGATTACCCCCAATAGTGTTTGAGGGAGAAGCCCCATCTTCTCCTCTTCCTTAATGCTAAATGGCATCAAAGTCGTCCTCCAAAGGAATTTTTGTAATTTAACTCCATAGTTGTATTTTACTATATCTTTGTCACATCATATTCCTTAATTGGTGGTAAGTCTGTAATGATAAGTCTAGAACAAAGTGAAGCTGAAAATTACTTAAAGTACATGCTAAAAGTAGGCAACACACTGCTCCCTGGTGGTACCCTACTTTTAGTATAATATTTGGAGCAAAACTAAAGGTAAGCCTCTCGTGGGCATAGCTTTGCTTCAGCCTCATCCTGGTATGTGAGGCAGTAATCATTTTCTTTCTCAAATCTCTAGTAGTTTGAAGGAAGTAGATGAGGAGTTCTGGTGTGAAATAGGAAGCAAAGAATCTTACAAGGGCAGGGTTGAGACTTGAAGGGAATTATTTCATTGAATTTTAGTGATAAAATCATGGGAAGAAAAATAGGGCATAATGATCATGGTAGGATGGGAAGGAATTTTGAAATATGAAGTGGCTATGAGAAAGGGTAAAGGCCAGTGATCTGCCACACTTTTATCACTGGGGGTCACTGACTAGAATATATGTTTCCAGCTTAAAAATAAACAACTGGAAGCACCAAGACATTAAGAGATTTTGTGATTGTAGTGAAAACGTAGCCAATGTTAGTGCTTACCTCCTATCATTTTCTAGATTTTCACCTCCTATCATTTGCTAGACCACAAAGCCTGCAAAAGGAAAAGATCCCGATCCTGTAGGAATCAAAGATGAACGTATCCTGACTAGGAAGTCATCCCCCTTCAGTCCATCTTTCTCATCTGTAAAGAACTTCAGTGCCAGTGAATTAAAAGTCCATCAGACTCTTACTCATAGGGATCTGAACTTGCCATTAGATGTCAGTCTTAACTTTTAGAGTCTTGGTAATAAGGTAGTGCCTGGTACAATACTGAGGGAGTACATAATAAGGAGGGTGGAGGAGTGGAAAAGGCTGGGTTAGGCATACAGAGACTTTTGTTCTTCTGCCACTGATTAGCTATGTGATCTTGGGCAAGTCACGCAATTTATCTCAACCTCATGGTCTTCACTGATTAATGGGGAAAATACAACAGGGTCATGAGGATAGTAGACAGAACCTTTCGTAAAGTCTAAATGCCATATATTTGGAAAATATTATTTCAGCCATAAAAGTCTTTCAATAGTAAATGGTTTCTAATTTGATTTGAAAAAAGTAAGATTTTAGATAAAATGGACTTTGTTATTGAAAAGCTCAATTATAGGTTATTCAGCCCCTTCCCTTCAGAGAAAATTTGGAAAGTTCTGTCATTTGTTGTTCTTTGGTAAATAACTAATAACACATTATAATGGTTTGATATAGGCTCTGGTACATTTGTTTCCTAGCAGTTTCCTTTCTTCTGTAGCTATGTTTGAAAGAAAGATGCCTTAGTTTCTTACTGAGGCAAGTGATACAGTATCTGTGGCTTTCTAGGGAGAGGTGGGACTGCAGACTGAAAGTTGTGGGAGCCCTACTCTTCTGTCTGGACTTAGAGCATGAAAACTCAAACTTAGCTATCATCAGAAACAGCTTTGTATCTAGTAATCACTTTAGATGCTTTTGAATTCTTCTTACCTATCATCATTTCCTTATTTTCAATTCCTATTTTGTGTTTGTGCTTTCTTTTCTTTTTTAATTTTTTGATATGCTTATTGAATATTCCCACCCCCTTTTTATAAGATTAACTCTGGATATATTTATTCATTCTATTGTTTTATTTTCTAATTTATTGTTTTCTTGCTTTATCTTTACTAATTCCTTCTCTCTTCTTTCCTTAGCTTTATTTTATTTCTTCCCAACTTCTTGTGTTGGGTGCTTAATTTATTTTCATTCATTCGTATTTTTTACTATATTTAAAATGTGAATTTTTTTCTGAGCATTACTTTAATTATATCTCATAAACTCTTATATATCTTTAATTACTTTTCTAATCAAGGAGTTAAGAGACCTCCTGCTAAATAAGGAAAGTTGATATTAAATTATTTGAGCTATTTTGGAAGATGAGTGTAGAAAATTGAAATCGTTGAGTATTTCTGAATAATCATTTTATTTTGCCTATAAATTCAACTATTTAGCCTATTAAAGCCTTTAATAGCATTTTCTACAAAGCTTTTTATTCCATTGTATTTATGTATGTATGTATATATTAAAAAACACTTTACTAAGCTCTTGAGAGTGTTCAGGCTTTGATACTAAGACTTGGGGATGATATAAGACATAGTCCTTAGCATGCAATAACTATCTTGTAAGGGTGACAGCCACATAAACATATGATAATAATAGCATGGAGTATGCATGACAGAGATATTTCTAGGGAATAACAAAACCGCTAAAAAGGGCCCCTAACCCAGCTTCTGGGTAAGAGTGATAAAAAGGCCAAAGCAGCCTTGGAAATTATACCTAAACTGAATCTTAAAGGTAGGCAGGTAGGTGGCAAAAGAAGGGTAGGAACACCTTCTAAAATAAAAATTGGTATGTGTGTATAATGGGGGAACAACAAGCTCTTTAGTGAAGTTGGAGAATTGAGAGTCAGCAGGGCGTAGCTGCAGTTGAAGCTGGAAAAGGCAAGGGCTGGTTCGGGGGAAGCTTTGAATGCCCCATGAAGGAACTTTTCCTTTATGTCACAGATGATGGGGAACCCCTGAGACACAATTGTTTTGCCTGTTAGCTGGATCACTCAGGTAGCTGGAAGAAGGATGGATTTGGAGGATGGGGCAATGTCACTCCTTTTTCCTCCCTGCTCGCTGGTGAACATGCTAAGGGACAAATAACTGGTCAAATGTAAAGAAGCAAAGTACTTGACAACCCAAAAATTTGTTAATAAACGTTTGAAGGACCCAGAATTTACATTAGAGATTAGATTCTTAAGGAATTCGTATGGCTAAAAACACAACCTGATTTACTTCGTAGTTACTACTACTTGTATTATGATTTAACTTTGTTTATAGCCTAGAACACATAAGAATATCCAACCTTTTCTGCCATGTGAGCAGTGGCCACTTACAAAATGTGCAAGCCTGTGTATACTTGAATTACAAAGATTTATATGTTCTCAACATACAACTATTCAAAAAATACCTTACAAATCTGAGTGGAGTAGGTCAAATTTAGTTCTTTCCCTTGGCACGTGAGAGGCTGGTTATCTTTTGGGGATAGGATCGTTTAGAAATTGATATGTGCATCCCTAAAAACAGGGTTTTCTAGAAACATTTTGTGCCTGGGATGGGGGTGGGGTTGCTGTGGTGGCCAACAGGGTGTGGAGTAGAGCTTCGGTGTGAGGTCTCACTATCTCTGCCTCACTCTGTGCTGCCGGGGAGTGCAGGGCTAGCCCTTTGTGGTCATTGCCATTAATGAACCGAAGAATGTGGTGAATTAGCCCAGCTTTGTGGTGAGGAGTAGGAGGGAGGGAGTCAGAGGGAGCACCGGCACTCTGCGTGCAGGCGAGTGTGAGATTTCAGGACCCAGCTATCATCAGGAGCAGCTCCAGCTCTTCCAGGCTGGGAGTTTAATCAAAGGGAAAATAGCAGACCACCCAGGCGGGGGCTCCAAGTGAGCGAATGTGCTGTGTCAGTCTCTGCTCCCCAGCCAGCCAGTGCCCAGGATGTGACCAGCCCTCCTGGAAATGTGCTGACAGATATGGGGGGAGGAAACACTTCTGCTCTTCACATTTTTCATTTAGATAGAGAGTAGAAAAGAAAACCATTTGATTTCTTTCTTTTTTGCTTCTTACCCTGAGACTTTGCTGCCTAGTCCTAGAGGAGGATATATGCCACGGTAGAGAACGTTTACTTCATAGCGCTTACTCATTCATACACAAAAAGAGTTCTTTATCACACCATCATAAAGGTCCACAGTGGGCCTTGAGTGAATCTCAATTTCAGAAATTCCAATTGGAAAGTGAAATTCGGAGAGACGGAGCCACATCTTTGAAATGATTATAAATGTTCTCTAGGATTGAGGCAGATGGCACCCTGTTTATCACGCACTTTGGCGTTTGGCACTGGAAGCTTTCTCCCTGCCTCCTTAACTTATCTGGATGCATTTGAACTACTGTACATTTGTCCTCGGATTCTGTGGTTGTTTGCTAACTCTAGTTCCTTTGGTTCTATATTCTTTCTTGGTAGAAAAAGCTGTTCTTTGTACCGTATACATTACTCTTTCCCATTTCTAGAACCAGAAAAGGATAAATAGGAAAAGCATAAGCTCTTGAGTCAGTGAGACCTTGACAAATTGTTTAACCTTCCTGTGCCTTGATTTCCTTATTTGT